AAAGGAATGAGTGAGAGCAACACAGAGAAGGGCTACCAGGAACTGAAGAGGCCCGGTTCCTGCAGCAAGGCTTGTGAGCAAAAGGAAGTGGGACCAACCCAATGGTTTTGTCACACTGACAGATAGAGCAAAGAAATTCCACGGAATACTCAAAGAAAAAGACAGTTGGGTTTTTTTTTTTTTTCAATTTTGTTCACATGTTCATTTTAGAAAATTTAGAAAGCAGAGAAAAGCATTAGAAAGTAAAAATCTAGTAATTTTATTAATATTTGGGTGTTGTTTTTTTTTTTTTTTACCTATTTGGGTTTTTTTTTTTTTTTTTTTTAAAGAATTGGCATTACATAGAACTTTTAAATCTGTTTGTTTAATGTCCTAACATTGACAATTATGCCCTCAATTAAAATGATGTCAGAAGCTGGGAAGAAAAAGTCAGATTCTCCCATACAGCCTTCAGAGGGATGTGGCAACACGGACACCTTGATTCCAGATCTCTGGCCTCCCGAACAGTGAGAGAATGCATTTCTGCTTTGAACCAACAACAACAGAAGTAAATATATACATATACATATACATCCTTTAAAAACATGGCCTTTCATGGCTACTTACTATTCTCTTTCAGAAATTATACCATGATTTACTCTAGCAATGTCCCTGGGTAAGACATCGAAGAGTCTTTATGACTTCACTATCAGAAGTAACTAATTCATGAACATATTTTGCCATATAATAGCAAAGTCCTCCAGAAAGCTGCAATTCGCGTCACCTTGCAGTACATCTGTGCCCACTGTCTTGCCTCATCACCAACACTGAATTCTGTCCTTGAAGCACAAATTCATACGAACCCACAAAAACCTATGAAAGCAACTCTGAAAAGAACCTCTACCCTATCAAACGATCCACCCAACAACAAAAATGCCATGGGGAAACAGACTGCACAAGAACACAAGCATTTATGAGGGAAATTTAAAAACTACTGGAAAAACAGCTCAAAAGTGCATGCCATACTTGCAGGGTTCTTTAGCAGCATTTTACTAGGAAGTCACTGTGCTTTCCTTTTAAAACTATCACCAAAGACTCTCCGAAGGCTGAAATAGGTTTGTTATATTAGATTTGATTTGGAGTAACAGACTCCAGACGTGGTTGAACAGTTTGAGTATTCTGATTCTGTACTTTGCCCAAGTCATAATGTAGATTATTTTAATGCCCATTTGAAAGCTTGAGGCTGCCACCCTAAACTGACACAGTAGCCTTTCTGTGGGCCAACTGGAGGAAACAATTTTCTTCATGACCCCAATATTTGGGCAAGATTACTAAGCACTTTTTTTTTTTTTTTAAGGTTTTTTGGTTTTTAATCTCTACACCCAACGAGGGGCTCCAACTCATGGCCCTGAGATCAAGAGTCACATGCTCTTCCCACTGAGGCAGCCGGGCGCCCCACTAAGTCCTTTAAAAGGAAAGTGAGATAAAGATTTGTATTAGCTTGTAAAGAACCAACTGTACATGACTGCTGCCCAACATCTGCCAAGTATCTTTTCAGTCAATATTGCAACAATGTCAACTTTTTTGCTTTTCTAGTGTTAAGTACAAGAAAGTTCAAATCAATTTAAGGCAAGACTGCTATTTACCCCTCGTGATTCAACATAATAAAACACCTTTAAGAAAGGATTTGTGATCAGCCTGAAAAATGCTCAATGACCTGGCTAAAAGCAAAAGCAAAACCAAACTGCATATTTATCGGATTTAAAAAAAATTATTTTGAAAATTAAGGGACCAAAAATAAATTTCTATCTACTACCAGATAGAAAAAGTCTTGATACATAAAGCTCAACAAGACAAACGGAGTCTGCTCTACATGTTTATGGATTTTTAATAAAGTCTAGTCCAGTTCAAATCGCCAAAGGTGTTTAAAGAGAATATTGCCGGATCCAAAGCTAGATGCAAAATTCTAGGATTTTATCAAGTGTAAAATGATGTAAGAAATTATCTAATGCCCTATACATAAGCCCTATAAATCTCAGATCCCAGTTAAGATTTTGACAACTGGCTTTTCTTTAAAGGGACATGTTGTAGAGAAACAAGCACACAGGAAGCCAGAAAGCCAGATGTATTATCTTTTACAGCTAGCTAGCCAAATCTTAAAAAGAATTTTTCCTCAAAGCTTTCAATAGTATCCAAAGCAGAAGTCTATGCCCTGTCCAAGTTCTCAAACTTTCAACCCCAAAAAGCTACAGAAATTTTTCTCAATCCTGGGCTGTTATTCTATAGAGTTGGAACCAAACAAGTGTTTCGGTATCAATTATTTCAGAGTAAGCTTTAAAAGCTCTCATACAGGGCTAAAATGTACTGGAAGATAAAAGGAACTCATTTAAAAAAATAGAGGAAAAAAAAAAACCCTTGGATTCTATGAAGTGGTAGAGAAAGCCTAAATTGCTCTGATGTTCTAGGAAATAAACTATTTTCTCTTAATGATGATTGGACTTGCTTTTCCAAGTCAGCTCAATGGCCACCAGAAACACAACAAAACACATTTTTCCCCTCTTGTCATTATGAGTATATACATTTTATATGTGTGTGTTCTGTTTACTGGAATCCTCAGCCAAGGCTTTTAAATGTGTTTGAGAACAAACTGCTGTTCGCTGGGTGGGCAGGGAAAGGGTCCAGTGTGGTGGTTTCTGTATAATGCTGAGCACATTAATGGGACTCACCAAATACCATATTTATTTTACTTGTGGCTTTCAGGGTTAGGGGAAAAAAAAAAAAAGAGGTTAGAGTTTATCAAAAACAAAACAAACTCAAAACAGGGAATCAGCGCAAAATTACCTGCATCACTCAAGGCCTATTTCCTTTCTTCTCCTCAATGTTTTTAACATTATAAACCCTCTCTCTTCATGGGGTATCTGTCTTTATACTCCACCTCTGGTACAACTTGGGTTCTAAAATCTTCCTAACCGTCCACTTAGTTTTAAAATAACTGTCTCGCCAAAACTGCTGACCCGTCATAGAGCCACATGCTGTTGCCTCCTGAAAAAGGCACATGGTCAGGGCAAAAGAGGTGAGAGGCAGTAACTCTGTACTAAGCTCACCTGCGGTTCTACTCATACACAACCTCACACATTAAGGCGCCCCAGGAACGGGGCCGACAACACCTCAGTCCTGGTGGCAGCGAGGCTGAGATGGGTTACGTGAAAAATGCGATTTTTTTCTCTACCTAATTTTCTCAAGTAGGTTATGGTTTTGGAACACTTAAACCTCTTCTGCTACCTACCAAAAGCAAAAAAAAAAAAAAAAAAAAGCCTTTGGGTCTGCCTGATTGTTTTCCATTTACAAGAATTCTCAATTGGGTGAGCAGAGAAAGATGGTTTCACACCATACAGTCTTACCCTTAGAAATAAACAGACTGCCCATCTAAGTGAAATAGAAAGGTTTCTAAAGCAATTGGTGTGTTAGGTGAATTAGTTAAATATAGCAACTCCTTGGAGAAGCACACTCGTCATTTTTAAAAAGTTTATTTCAAGGGTAGGGAAAATAAATAGCAAAGCAGCCAGTAAGATTCAAGAAAAAAAAAAAAGTGGAACTTGCAATTCAGGTCTCGGACTCTCTGAAAAGGGGGGAATGTCAGTAGTCCTAAAGAACTAGCATGTAAATAACACTTTTCAAAATAGTTTATAATAAAAATTGCAATTATCCTCAGGTGTGAAGGCAATTTTCCGCTTACTGCAATTCCGGTGGGTTGCCCCATACAAATGGGCTAAGAGTAAAATCTTGTATTTTGCATTGATTTGCATGGTCTTAGGTCCCTCTATCTTCATTTAAGTTCCCTTTTTCACAAGTGGACAATGTGCTGAGGACTCAAAAGTACTATTTAAATCCTCCCCAACGTTTGGTTTCACTATCAGAATCTTTGTTTGCACACAACACGTTATCTCCATAATAATCTCAACCTAACCGCTTTAGAATCAGTTTACCATTCTGTTAACTTTACATATTGGAATACAAGACCTCTAAGAATGCCTTACAGGTCTTATCTAGATGCATACTTTCCTGCATCTCTACACTCAAGTTCTTTTTAGAATGTTTAAGAACTCAGCTATGAGGGATCCTAAAAAGTAGGCGAAAACAGTATTGTTTCTTGGACTCCAGATAACGTACCTGCAGGAACAAAGCCATTTAAAAGGATACCACAAATATCCTAACTACAAAATTCTGAAATGTCTGTTCAGGGAGTTCCCTCCCACAGTTAAATTTTGTTTCTACCAACGGAACGCACCGCCGCCGCAACATTTTTAACGTTGTTACGGACGCACCACATAAAATTTACGCTCAGAAGTCAAAGTCCCATTAAAAGAGCCTAGATGATCGCTTGGTGAATTGTAAAGTTTTAAACTCTTATTCGCCCCGCCCCCCGCATCGCCCCTAAATTTACAAAACCTAATCACCCACATTCGGGGTCTTTGACTCATCAGAGAAGAATGCAGCTGATGAGTTATCTATTAATCCAAAATGCCTCAGCTGGAAAGATATTTCACCAAGAACTTTTTAACACTGAAAGGGAGGGGGCAGGGAACAGAAGGTGTCTTTTAACGAGTACTTTCCCCGAGTTCTCTCCTTACACCGCACACACACACACACACACCCCCCCCTCAACTTCCCAGTCCCGGTCGCAGAATTAAGTCCTGACCCTCCGGGTCCCAATAAACTGAGGTCACCCAGGAGTCAGCTCTCGATTCCGCTTTTAAAATCCCACGCAAACAAAGCTGAGCATTATACTTACAAGTCTCCGAAAAGTCCTCAAAGTTACGCAGTCTTAGGAACCCACAAAAACACGCTCTCCGAAGAGAGCCCCCCCTCCCGGGGCCACAGTTTGGGGCTGTGCCTCGGGGCGAGGGCAATTCCCAAACCCTCGACTGCGGCGCCCCGGGGCCGGCGGCCGCACGCACGCAGGAGAAAGCCCGCGGCCCGCGCCCCAGGTCGTACCCCCGCCGCAGCGAGCCCCTCCGTACCTCTTCCTCCTGAAGGTTGGCCTCGTTCGGGGTGTTCTCCTTCTCGGCTTTGCCGCCGTTGTTCATCTTCCCGGTCCTTCCTCGCCGGGCAGGGCTGGGGCGCGGGGCTGGGCGAGGGCGCGCTCGCCCACTTTTCCCTTCCCCGGGCGCCGGGGCTCCCTCGGGCGGGCGCCGCGGGCTGCGGGGGCTGAAGCCGGGGCAGCGGCGGCTCGGGCTCCCGCGGCGAGGCGAGACTGCGGCGGCAGGCGACCCAGGAAGTACGAGGGAGAGACGGGGCAGGGCGAGGCGCGGGCCGACTGGGAAGGGGACGGAGACAATCGGGACCCGGGAGGGAGAGACCTGGAGAGGGAGGGCGGGCGCGAGGGAAGGAAGGAAGGAAGAAAGGATGGGGCGAGGGCGCGCGTCCCAGGAGGGAGCCCAGAGAGTTGGCAATGTGGCCGAGCAGGGGCTGGGGGCGGCCGCTGCCGGAGCCTAGCGGGGGCCGGAGGGAGGGGGCGAGGGGTGCCCAGACCCAAAAAGGAGGTGGTGCAGGGCGCGGGCCGCGGCTGGGACGCTGGGACCCGGAGAGTGCGCGCTCCAGGCAGGCTCTGGGAAGTACGGGATCCAAGCAGCTCCCTTTCTCTCGCTTTCCTCCCTCCCCTCTCTCCTCCCTCTCCTCCTCCTCCTCCTCCCTCCGCCCTCCCTAGACGTGGGCTGCCGGCTTTAGCCCGGAGGGACGAGACGCGGGACGGAGAAGCCCCCCGCGGGAGGAGGGGCTGCGCCGGGGGCGGCTGCTCCGCGGCCGGATGGCGCGCGCCGGGGAGGGGCCGCGGGCGGCAGGCGGAAGCGGCCGACCCCCAGCCCCCCGACTCGGCGGTAGGTCAGAGGGCGAGGGCCGAGGCGCGGGAGGGAGGGAGGGAGGCCGGGTCCTCCCGCTTCCTCGGCCCCTGGGGGCCCCGGCGGCCCGGCCGCGCCGGAGTTGCCGAACTCGCGTGGCGGCGCGCGCCGGCTTGGAGAGGGGCTTCGGGGAGCCAGGCCGGGCCAGCGCGACGCCCGGGAAGCGTGATGGGCTACTGCTGTTGGCTTGCTGCCCGCGGGGATTCGCACCCCTATCCCTAAGCCAGCCCCTCCTTTTCAGTACCAGCTCAGACCTATTTCCTCCCTTCCTGGTTGGCAGCTTGAAATGACAGGATGCGAGAGAACGAGCGACGTCCGGGGACAGCGGCGTTTTCAGGGTACAGCTTCAAACCCACCTCCAGCGCCGGGTCCTCGCAAACCTCCCAGCCTCCGCGCGCCGGCCTTCGCTCTCCGCTAGGCTTCACGGGCCCCCTGCTCAGGCTCCTGTCACGGCCCTTAGCAGACTGTTCTGGAAGTATTTACCTGGCTGCCTCCCTTACTCTCTTGGGAGAGCCTTCCCGCCAGACAACAACACCGTGGCCTGTTTCTCTTTATAATCCCACGGCTATTTAAATACCATACCTGGTATAGAGTAGGCACTCAAATCTTTGTTGGCTAAGTGAATATTCCTCACAGCGAGCCGAACTGGAGGCCAACACAGATGATCTTCAGAGGGTCAAAGCAGCTTAAAGAAGAAAGATGGCTCAGTACTGTGGGAAGTCCGCGCACAACGCCTGTTTACGCGCCAACCTCGGAAGGACTGCGAGGTTTCGGTTTCCTCACCTGTGAAATGGAAGTAGAGTTACCTCCCAGGGGGGTTGCAATTAAAGGAAATGATAGGCTGGTAGAGCTATAGCACCCAGCACCCATTCCTGCCCAGTTTAAGTTTACAGAACATGGAAGTTAGCATTATTATCATTAAGGAAATTTCCATTTTTCCGGGGCCATAGAGAGCTTCTCCATTCCGGTATCATAGACACATAAATTTAAAACTGCATATATCAGTAGGTTCTCCCTCACTTCCCACGCCCAGGAATTCTCTGACACAGCACCCTGTTCCTTTCTTCACTGCACCAATCACAATTTCTATTTATTTGCTTGCTTCACTGTTTATCTCTCTCTGCCCCCTTCCTCCCCCCCCCCCCACATTCTTCACCCTATACTGGTTTAAGTGCTGCTGGGAGTAGGGTGGGGGTGGGAATGGAGATAAGGCTCCTGCTTTTAGGGACTTTAAACTGGTGTTGTGGAAACAAGAAACCCAAAACAACTCCACGGCACCATGATCAGGGATCCTGGTTCAAATCGCAGAAAGCAATGAAAATACTTGTGTGAGGAGCATTGTGAAGAAAAGAGTGCTGATGCTTCCATTCACCTACTGGGTTTTTCTTGGGGTGGGAGGGGTGGGGGGGGAGCCTGAAGATTTTGATAAAGATTGAATTGCTGTCATGATGTCATGTCTCTCTACGGGGGTGGGGGGGTGGGGGGAGTGTATCCTGGATGAAAATAAGCCAAGAATCTGTTGAACTTGCAATTGAAGTTCGGAAGAGGCAAGGGCCACACAATTAATCTGGAAACTTGGACAGCCCTTTCCATTCCCAGTCCCTCCCTCAGTTACATAAGGAACCACGAGGGGGCAATGTCTTCCTGAGCAATGGCTGAGTGGTGGTCTTGGGCCCCTGCTCCACCAAAGCCGCGGGCACTTTGCCCTCCTTGGCCCTGGCCTGGTACGGAATACACTCCACAGAAAGATATTGTCTTGCTGGAGCCTGGCAAAGGCCCAAGAAAAATGACAATTGATCTAGTCATTGATGGTTCCAGACTCTTCTTATGAGTAGGTGGAAGATGTTGTATGATTCCAGGACGCTGCTGCTACCCCCATCCAGGGAAATGTGGCTTAATTCCAAACATAGAAACCTGATTCCTTTGTCTTTAAGCCAAGCCAGCACTTTGTCCATTGTTAAAAGTCAAAAACCTCTGGGATAAAAAATGAAAATAAGAGCTATGAGAGGATCTTTGTCTGATTTGTTCATTGTTGTGTTCCCAACATCTGGATAGTGTCTACCACACAGTAGGCACTCAGTGGTTATTTTTGAATGAATGAACACATTAAGTCTTATCAGATATTGATTTTCAGCCTTGAATGACGTTATCAGATCCTTCCAAGACCCTTCAGGAGGGACTGAATTAGGTGTCTCAGCATGGAGAGCCACCACAAGGGCACTAGGCAGATTCAGGGTAGTGGTCTGTAGTCATTATTTTGTAGGGGGAGACCCTACCTAGATAGAGAGCTTGCTCAGAATGAGACAACTGATGAGATTTCAAAAATAAAATCACACCACTCAACTAGTCACCTAATTTATCAGGCAGTTAACAATACAGCAGGGAGGTCTAGAACATTTATCAACGGTGAGCATGAAATTCAAGGTGTTTTCAGAAAAGTATATGGGATGGGGGTAATATGCCACGAAAAGAGGGACTCCTGTTTCCTGTCCTTTCCATGAAGAATGGTGTAGACGTAGGGTCATATATTACCAACAAACCCCTCTGAAAATCTGTAAATAGACTTTAGCTGTTTATGAAACTTTAGTGAGAGGAAAGAAATTGTTCAGGATATAAGTGATCTTTATGACCTGTTTACTACTTTAAAGCAAGAAAGTTTCCAAAAGTGAGAACTCAGGGGCACTAGTTTCCAGACACATTAGGAGTTACAAGACAACAAAGGGATTTTATATCCTAGAAATATAGGGCTAATGATCACGAAACATCTGCTTTCTCCCCTGCCCACTGCTTTACCACGTTGCTTCTAGCCTACAAGCTTACATGCTAGATTGAAAGGGGAATATTGCATGCACCTGTAGTTTTGTTCCTTATCTCTGTTTCTCGGGCAGTGTTCATCTTGAGGTTTGCTTTAAGAAATCCAAACCTATAATTACATCTTCAGTGTTTGTCTCTGGGAATTGCAGACATTAAAGATCAATTTTGAAGTAGTTTGCAGGGCAGGGGTCTTGTACCTGTTAGCACTGCAGCAGAAAGCTACAGGATCTACCACATGGGTTGTGAATATCTGTTCACACTTCTGCATCCTCTGCTCGACCCAGAAAGTTCTCAAGTCCAGAGGCTATGTTTTATTGGCTTTTTGTCATCCCTGACATCTCTCTCTCTCTCTCCACACCCACCCACCTGCAGGCCATCATCATCTTCCCCTGATTTTATTCATTAGGTTTTATGGCTTTAAAAAACACAGCACTGTATATACCATCCCGCAGTGTGCAGTTCAGTAGTGCGAGGTATACTCACATTGTTGTGCCACATCCTCTTGATTTTTACCTCCTAAATAGTTGTGAAATTCAATCACTTCCTTCTAAGTATTTGTGGAAACCCATTCAGCCACGTAGAGAGACCCACGTGGAAGAGAACCAGGTCCCGGGCTCACAGCTCCCGCTGAACTCTCGGCAGACAGCTGGTACCAATTGCCAGCCTTGTGCGTTCTCTTGGGAATGGATCCTTAAGCCCTGGTTGAGCTATGCCAGCTGACGCCACATGGAAGAGACATGAGCTGTCTCAGAGTCATGCCCAAACTACAACACTGTTAGCAAAAAAGTGAATGCTATTGTTTTAAAACACTAAGTTTTAGGGTGTTTTCTTATACAGCAATAGATAACTCAAATGTAATTGCATACCTAGAGGCAAGGTCTCGAAGTATAGAAACTTAGAACAGGCGGCGGTGGCTTTGGGACCAGGTAGAGGATGGAAACTGGAAGAACACTGAGGAGTCTACAAGCGGAGAGCATTACAAAGGGGCAGTATTATTATTAGAGGCTGGAGAGAGGGGGACTCCACTTATCTATTGGAAAAACTATTAGCTAAACTAGCTTGCCATTGCATGAAAGACAGAAAAGATACCTAATGCATGCGTGGATCTGGCTAAGGAGCTATTTGGATAGATGGTAAAAAGGTTGAAGAATTTCTTTCAAATGCTTATGATATAGTACAAGAGAAGTGAGATGAGCCAAAAAAAGGGGGGGGGACTGTTCCATTTTCCATCTGAATTTAGAGGAAACATAAAGAAGCCAGGACTTCCTGGGTTTGAAATAAAACTGTCATTTCTAGCCTCTCCAGAGGACACCACCATCAAAATAAGAAATGGTCTAGGGGCCGAGGTCAAATCCAGGGTGCTCTCGGGAAAATATGGCCTTAGGTGAAGTTCAAGACAAGGGTACAGCTGTGGCAGGCAGCCTCCACCATGGCCCCCAATGGTCCCTACTTCCTGGTATTCAAGCCCTTGTGTCATCCTCTCCCCTTGAGTGTGAGCTGGACCCAGTGACTTGCTTTTCATGAATAGAGTCCGGCAAAAGTGATGGATATCACTTCCAAGATTAGATTGAGACAATGACTCCCTTTTTACACACGCTCTCCTTGTTCTCTCACTTGCTGCCCTTGATGGAAGCCAGTTACCATGATGCCAGTAGCCCTATGGAGAGGCCCATGTGACAAGGAGCAAAGGACGCTTCCATCCAAGCACCAGCAAGGAAATGGCACTTTCGATCCAACAACCCACAAGGGACCGAATCCTGCCAACAACCATGTGAGCAAGCTTGGAAGTGGATTTTCCCTAAGTGCAGCCTTAGATGAGATGAGACCTGTTAGGGACTGAATGTTTATATGCCCCCAAAATTCATATTATGAAGCCCTAACCCCCCGTGTGATGATATTAGGGCCTTTGGGAGGTAATTAGGTTTAGATGAGGTCATGAAGGTGGAGCCCCTGGGATGGGA